CCTATATCATTTTGTAAGTGTAAACTGCCAAAATTTTTATCATTCCTGAGTATTATCTAAATATATTTTATTTCCAGAGTATTGCTATACATCATAAATGATAGCTTTGTATTACACATGCTATTTACGCGTATGAATTACTTTCTTGAGAAATTGATATCTATATGATAATTAATAATGCTTTTAATTTGATACGCATTACTAGCATAAAGAATAATTTACGTATAGAATTAAGGTGATTGTAATTTGTTTCCTTAAAATTTCACATTCGTCAAGTTTCGAGCAATGCATAGAATTTTTTAATTTCTCGGGAAATAATAACAGTTGTGATCATAAGCCTGTGATGTTACTAATGATTACATTTTCACTTGTTGTTATGCATCGAACTCGTTGTAGGCATATTCGACCAAATTCGACTACATTTTATTTATTTTACGGTAAAATCTTTTAATAAAGTAAATTATAATGAATTTGATTCAAGTCTGACACTGAAATGGAAGTACTACTTGGAAACATGGTTGGAACTATGGTTTTCAAGTACTGTTACACGGTTGGACAAGTTTTATTCATTTACAGCGAGTCACCATTATATTTTTGGCAGCTATGTAATTGTGGATTTCACTGACAGATTATTTTAGTTGAAACGTCAAACCCATATTGTTGTCTGATAGTTAGTACCTTAATTGTCATTCAGAAAAAACATTGTAGATTTTGTAGTTTTTTGAACTTTTACTACGCAACCAAACGATCAACTCAGACGCGTACATTCAACAACTAACCAAACTGAATATAATGCAATTCAATAAAACCGATCAGAATTGGTAAATCGTAAAGGTATTGTGTTCCACTATGCCAATGGAAGGCTACACACATATAGCACCTTGCACCGTCAGATTATCATTTGTTTCGTTCTTTCCAAAACTTCTTGAATGGTAAAAATTTCAATAACGATGATTACATCAAATCACACTTGGTTCAGTTTTTTGCTTGAAAGATGGCAAAAGGTTATTGTTAAAACTGGACAATACATTACTAAATAAAGTTATTTCGTTCCATGAAAAAATTGTCTTTTATTTTATTAAAAAAATCCGCCATTAGTTGCCAAATCAATACATCGCTGCCAGGTATACTCGTTTTAAATGTATTCATAACATAAAGCCTTTTAAATTTGCAAACTATATACTCGTGTTTGATTTTATGCATATGAACAGTTACGAACATTTATGACAGAATATGTGTACTTATCAAGAAGTGACAGAATTTAGATAAACAATAACACATCGCTGCCAGGTATACTCGTTTTAAATGTATTCATAACATAAAGCCTTTTAAATTTGCAAACTATATTTAATTTTATGCATGTGAGCAGTTATTTATGACAAAATATGTGTACTTACGAATAAATAACAGAACTTAAACAAACAATAACTTCATATAATTTAGGCTTGGCAATGAATGGATTAAATTGAACGATAATCGAGTTGTCGTTAACGATTTTTACCATGGAAATTAAATTTGCAAACTATATACTCGTGTTTGATTTTATGTATGTGAACAGTTATTTATGACAAAATATGTGTACTTACGAACAAATAACAGAACATAGATAAACAATAACAGAAATGACAATAGGAATAACTTCATATAATTTAGAGTGCAAAGGGTGTCTGAAATTTCTATCGATCATTTGCCAAACCAATAGTTTACAAATACGAGTGGGTGTAATTCCGCCTTTCGTATTATCTAGGCGACTAAATTTTCTAGTGACGAGCAATTCGGTTTATAGAGGATCGGATTAGCCTTCACTTTTGAATACGGTTGGTCGTCCGTAGCAACAGGAAGCGGCACCACCTCCGAAAAGACGTCGGGTGGCGGAAATGGGACGTGTCGGATATCGTCGGGTCCTAACAGACGCCATAAACTGGATTCTTTATGCATCACGGTGTACCTAGCCCCCGATATTGCTGATATTCGATAGATAGTAAAAGTCATTTCGGTGAAACCGGTTGCAAGCCAAGGAAGGATGAAGTTATACTAAAAGGCGAAGCAATCCGAGGCCGAGACGAGTTTTCGCTTTATTCAATTTCAGCCCGCGGGGAAACGTTCCACAAAAATTGGGCCAATTTGTGTGAAACGTTTCTATGATATTCTTTAGAGCGAATTTAATTTTATATTGTGACAACATTCGCCAAGATTTGCCTAAAACGTACGGGACGTACGAAAATGTATCTTGGGGTGGATCTCCCGAATAGTTCGTGAATCTTGCAAATTTTAACGAGTAAAATTTTGTAAATCGAAACGAACGTAAGAGTGATCAAGACGTAGAAAGGATGGGCAAACTCCTTTGTTCCGCAGCGTGATCATCGGAATGGCCACCGCTGGATACTTATGGTAATCAATCCAGATGAATATTGGAGGTGCAGTACACGCTAGGACAGAGTCGAACCAGTGAAATCGTAAAAGCTTGCTACACTATCCGGTGTGCAGGCAGACATAATGGAAAAATAGTGTCACTCTGCGGACGATACATCGTCCGCCATATCAGTAGTGCTAATACGGTACAAGCAACCAGCGTCCGGGGTTATTGAATCGTTACTTCTCGTTCCCTTATACGTCTACACGATAACGCTGACATTCTCTCTACAATTAGTTGGTATACTAAATTATTAGTTTCGTCTACGATTCCCCTTTCCCAAGTATTCAGATAAAAAATATACTGAAACTAAAATGCTAATAGCGTAGAAAAAGAAACAAAAATATGTAGTTGCCTCTGTACGCGATCAATCTGTCAATAATTTTTAATCTCTGATAGATTCTGAAATAACTGTACCAACTTATGCGTAACGTCCCACGTATTATACTTTGAATTAGTGGATCGAGCGTGGCAGTTTTTGCGACCGCGGATAGGGAACTATGCCGACTACGCGATTCTGAATTCGATATAATGAAATGATAATTGAACCGAATTACGATGAAATGCGCGAATGGATGCAAAATACTCCGCGGTGCTCGATAAAGCGTTTACGCGGATGCGGTGCTTTGTTCGATTACTAACGCGCCGCAGGTCGTGGAACACTTTATAGGGTATATTTAGGAACAGAAATGGAAAGCCACAACTAACTGGCGAAATAAACCCCGTTAATACTCTTTAACGTCATATCATTATATGCGTCCCAACGATACTCGTTTCGTTTGCTCTGTTAGCCGGCTGCAGTCGGACACGAACCCTGAATCGAAAGGAAAACGACTACGAATTGGCTACAGCACTTGGACAAAAATATAAGATACTTGACATTTTCTATATTTAAAATGATTAGGATTGGAATCCCTGGTTTAATGATAAAGGGTAAAAATATACTTAGGGATTCTTTTTAGTAGTGATTGGAATAAAATTTGCAGACACGAACGTTGATTTGAAAAGAAAACGATTTCGAGTTAACCACAGTAGTTGGACAAAAATATAAGACACTTGACATTTTCTATATTTAAAATGATTAGGGTTGGAATCCTTGGTTTAATGATAAAGGGTAAAAATATACTTAGGAATTCTTTTTATTAGTGATTGGAATAAAATTTGCAGACACGAACGTTGATTTGAAAAGAAAACGATTTCGAGTTAACCACAGTAGTTGGACAAAAATATAAGATACTTGACATTTTCTATATTTAAAATGATTAGGATTGGAATCCCTGGTTTAATGATAAAGGGTAAAAATATACTTAGGGATTCTTTTTAGTAGTGATTGGAATAAAATTTGCAGACACGAACGTTGATTTGAAAAGAAAACGATTTCGAGTTAACCACAGTAGTTGGACAAAAATATAAGATACTTGACATTTTCTATATTTAAAATGATTAGGATTGGAATCCCTGGTTTAATGATAAAGGGTAAAAATATACTTAGGAATTCTTTTTATTAGTGATTGGAATAAAATTTGCAGACACGAACGTTCATTTGAAAAGAAAACGATTACGAGTTAATCACAGCACTTGGACAAAAATATAAGACACTTGACATTTTCTATATTTAAAATGATTAGGATTGGAATCCCTGGTTTAATGATAAAGGGTAAAAATATACTTAGGGATTCTTTTTAGTAGTGATTGGAATAAAATTTGCAGACACGAACGTTGATTTGAAAAGAAAACGATTTCGAGTTAACCACAGTAGTTGGACAAAAATATAAGATACTTGACATTTTCTATATTTAAAATGATTAGGATTGGAATCCCTGGTTTAATGATAAAGGGTAAAAATATACTTAGGGATTCTTTTTAGTAGTGATTGGAATAAAATTTGCAGACACGAACGTTGATTTGAAAAGAAAACGATTTCGAGTTAACCACAGTAGTTGGACAAAAATATAAGACACTTGACATTTTCTATATTTAAAATGATTAGGGTTGGAATCCTTGGTTTAATGATAAAGGGTAAAAATATACTTAGGGATTCTTTTTAGTAGTGATTGGAATAAAATTTGCAGACACGAACGTTGATTTGAAAAGAAAACGATTTCGAGTTAACCACAGTAGTTGGACAAAAATATAAGACACTTGACATTTTCTATATTTAAAATGATTAGGATTGGAATCCCTGGTTTAATGATAAAGGGTAAAAATATACTTAGGGATTCTTTTTAGTAGTGATTGGAATAAAATTTGCAGACACGAACGTTGATTTGAAAAGAAAACGATTACGAGTTAATCACAGCACTTGGACAAAAATATAAGACACTTGACATTTTCTATATTTAAAATGATTAGGGTTGGAATCCCTGGTTTGAAGATAAAGGGTAAATATATACTTAATAATTCTTTTTATTAGTGATTGAAGTAAAATTTGCAATTGGGACAATGTCTGATTTCCTCGTAAACGAGTGTACAATTTCTAATCTATCTTATTTGTGTCTAATAATTTATAAATATTTATTTTTCCAATTTGTGTCTAATAATGTACTTCTGTTATTTAAATTAATGTACTTGTTCTTATTTGTTTCAGGAGATGAAAGTTAACTGGGCGACGTCGCCGGGAAACCAACCAAAACAAGACACCAGCAGTGAGTACGAAATTGAGTGTCTCGAAATTTATATTTTCTTGTTTTAGAATGTGATTATCTTCGCATAATTCTCCCGAGAGAATTATTTTTTAATATTTCTCCTAGTAATCCTTTCCTCAAACTATTTTCTATATGAACACTATAATCTATAAATATATTAAACATTCGTATAAAGTACGTTTCTTTTTTTTTTTTTCTTTCTTTTTTTGTGAAAAACAGTCGTTTGTATACGAGTTTTACACGCTGAATCGTAACTTTTTCTGGGATTGTTTCATATTTGTGTGTAGTATAGAATTCCATTAAAACTTTGAATTAAATTTAAAAAAAAAAAAAAATGCTGTTATTCGAAAGAAAGAAACTTCTGTTAAAAGCTTTTCACTGCAGAATTATTTTCATTTTTTTTAACGAGAGCGTCCTCGTGTTTTGAAAGTGGATGGTACGCGGGTAATATTACCATTGTTTCGTAATAATAATCCATTGTAATAAATATATTCGCAAATATTTGTGAATGTAATTATGAAAATTAGGCGGTGACACGAATTTAATTATAATAAGTTTCCCTTGTTAATTAATAGTACATATTGCACGTTAGCTCATAGGATTGGGCCCTTTGAACCTGGATAGTATACTTTAAACATGTTCGAATATTAGTATAATTAAATTTTGTCCTTTGTGCATATATAAAAACGTAATTAAACGGGACACGATACAACCTACATAAAACCATGCGATAGGTTACCCTTTTCACGGAGATACATCGTTAGAAACATTTCCATATTTGAGATTATCAGAGACCTCGTGTCAAAATAATTAAACATACTTGGAACAGTAATATAATTTTTAAATATGGTGATTTACATTTTGTACACTTTTTAAATCTGCAAGGTTGGGTCATGCTAGATGACGTTTCAAAATAGCTAGTAATTTGTTTTACGAAAAAATGCTTCCAGCATATCTTTTTCTAGAAAAATTTTCTCTCGAAATAACAGTGTTATAATAATATTTTTGATGCTTCGTCTGAATTCGTGAGGAAAAATTAGATTTCGTAACTTAAAAAATGAACGTAATATGCATATTTCGAAAAAAATTTGTTATTATTCGAGACATCTTTTTTCATAACAAATATTTTACGAGTTACTTTGAGACATATATACATGGTGTATTTTGATAAATCACAGGTTCAGGGACGTTTCGACAAAGGAAGATTGAAAATATTTGTGAAAGTTTCTATGCTTCCGAGTTACTTTTGCGTTTTAATAAATCCGGTGACAGTCAGACTTATCATAATTAGTTTCATTCAACAGTTTGCAATTAGACTTAAATAAGAACAACGACTGGAAGGATCCGAGTGTAAAGAATAAAATGTTAGTCTTCTGCTCCCGTATTAAAGCTTTCATTAGGCTCTCGTGCTGAATTCCTGAGAGAAAAAAAGAATTATCGTTAGCAGATAATAGAATTACTCTCTGGGTCGAAATTATGGCTTTCTGATCTTCAAAACTTTTTAATATACACCATAGCGTCAAATGGCGGACTTTATAATATGCACGTTGCAAGTTCGATAAAATATCAAATATTCTCTGCAGTAGGAAACAGGAGAAAACATGATCATATAATTGATCAATTATAGTAGCCGAAGAAAAATTTGAGTGCCTTGTAAATGTTTCTTTCTTCCAAATTATTTTAACCCTTCCGTTCTCTCGATAAGTATCCGTTCGTTTCGTAAAAGAATAGAGCTCCGCTTGGTTCTCTGTTCGTTTCTATTATACGTCGTGACAGAAACGCAGACGAAACAGTATTTACACCTTTCACGGTGGACGAACGTCACCGATGATTCCCCAAAGTGAAACGTCCAAATTCACCCTAACGAACGAAGATTCCTTATCCTTCGGTGTCCACGCCACCTGCCAGGAAGCCCAAAGGCCGAACGTGTGTGTCCCACACATGGACATCGAGCGACGAACGCGTGTGCGTGTTTGAAATTCAGTGAGGGGCGGCAGCAATATTTAACTCAGTCTGAAATTCCTCTTTTTATAGACTTGTAAAACCGTGACAGGCACATGGGACCCGTTCCAACCTCCCACTCGCCGTCCTTCACCCATGTCGTTCCCTTTCCACCCCCCCTGCCCCTACCATATACTATCTGAAGCGGTTAGATGGTAGCCCTGTATCTCTCGCCGTTCTTCCCGCCGGCTTTTCCCATTGCTGGTCCGCTTCCACCCTCCCCATACTTCTCGAATCCTACTTCACCCTCTGCCCCCTCGACACCCCCCCCTCCACCCCTCTCGTGCACTTTCCACGATCCTCTTTCGAAGCCGCGCTATACCTCCCCGCGGACAAATGCAAAACTAAAACGCTCCACCCCTATTCTCTGTGTAAATATGGCCGGGAACTACTGCACGGTCGTTGAACGGGGTGAACACACTTTTTCCTACCCCCACTCGTGTGTTCCTTCCCGCGATCGCATTCCCCATCTACGGTAAGAGTAGATACCCCTGTACGCGTTGCGGTTACAACCGAGACGGGGAATACCAAGGCGGCGATGGCACACGGTTGTGTTTTACTTTTCTGCGAGGGAATGTTAGGAAACTCCGTCGTATCGGTACACCTGCGTATCCTGCAACTGCGACCCCCGCCGAGAATATACGTATATTATACAAACTTATTTCAGACTGCCGTCGCACACGTTACGCTTCTCGAGGCTAAATCTGAGCAGTCCCGGACTCCACGGTACGCGGGAACCCCCGAACGGTGGCTTTCGAGTGACTTTATTAACGCTTTCACTGCTACGTCACCCATACACGCAATGGCAGGTTTTTCAATTGTCGGAATTGGCGAAATTAATTCTCAATATTAAAGGAAATTTGTGAATTTTAGCGAGGTTATACAAATTTTCAGTTATGGACTTTACAATGGCCGAAAATTAAAATTTTAGTCTTGCAGGAAATTGTACGGTTTTCATCTGGCAGTGAAAGTATTGATAGTTTAAATTTATGTTGGTGAATGTTCTTGGAAAATGATCATGGAAGAGCAAACCGAAGAATAAGATCGAATAACACCTCCGAATGGTCGCTTTCAAGTGACTTTATTAACACTTTCAAGTTACCCATATATGCATGACAGAATTTTCCTCTGTTGGAAGTAGAACAATTAATTCTAAAATTGAAATATTAATGGGAATTTCTGAATTTTAGCGAGGTTACAAAAATAATGAAACAAATTGTAAGTTATGTAGTTTAGAATGATCTAAAATTAAAATTTTAGAAAAGTGTTTAATCGCAATATGACATTGGAAAGATATTATTTGTGTAATCGATACTAATAATTTGATTTTTGGCAAGTGTGACAGTAACTGGTTAAAGAATGGCTTTTATACAGGGTGGAACAAATGTTTGTAATTACCCTATTATTATAGGTCTAAATAATAGGTATTAATATAATATATATTAAAGTCTATTATCCACCTATTGTACCTCTATCTATAGGTATTAAAGTCTCCTAAAAATAGAGTTTTCACAATACTACAGACTATTTATTTATATATTTAGTATACGGAATATACTCATTTGAGTACATATTTACGTTGCGCGAAGTCAGAGGTAGGAATAGAAAACGAGGATTGCGATTGATCGTAATTGCATAATGCAAGTTTCTTACAGGTAATAGTTTAACTCGAGTCTCTGTCATTCTGTACGCCGAAACGCAGTCCCCACTATCGTATCGTCAGAGTTCAGCATACTTTCGGCCGAGAATCTGAACGATATATCGACTGGAACGCGTTTCATGTGTACGAAAGGTACGCCTGGATGTACAAGTTCCAGGTTAGTTCCTGCGGCCGCACTGCAACTTTAGAACCGCGGACGTTTATGAGCGCTCGTAATGCATGCTCGAGGAATTCACCACGGATAGGAATATTATCTTAAGGTGATAGTATATCCGTACGCAGAGCCGCGGGATATCCCGGACGCAATCGGAGGAGATTTCGATGGCTACCTACAAACAGAAAAGAAATCTTTCGGACTTTTACCGGTTTTAAAACGATATTTTACGACGGAATTTTTTAGTGGCTGAAATTTTTAGGGAGAAACGGTAAAATAGTTTTTCAGCAAGTTTCAACGCATATGGTTATTTCTATATTCGAAAAACATCCACAATTTTTTTAACGCAAAAATATTCAATATTTCAGAAGTTGCAGTAAAAAATAAGAAAACCAGAAAGCATGTTATTCGGTATGGTTATAGCCAGCACGTGTGTGCTCGCGATTTTGTTTACCCAGAAATATTCAATATTTTCGAAAGTACAATAAAAAATGGAAAAATCAGAAGGCATGTCATTCGGTGTGGTTATAGTCAGCGTACGTTTAGGTCCATATTCAAAGTATATCCACAGTTTTTTCCAAGCAAAAATATTCAAAATTTCAGAAGTTGCAATAAACAATGGAAACACCGGAATGCATATTATTCGGTATGGTTATAGGTAGCATATGTTTAGATCTATATTCAAAGAATATTTACAATTTTTTCCACACAAAAATAATCAAAATTTTAGAAGTCACAATAAAAAATGGACAAACTAGGAAGTATGTTATTCGGTCTGATTCTAGTCAGCATATGTTTGGATCTATATTCGAAAAATATCCACAATTTTTTCCAACCAAAAATATTCAATATTTTAGAAGTCACATTAAAGAATGGAAAAAGCCAGAAATTACGTTATTCGGTATGGTTATAGCCACCATATATTTAGATCTATATTCAAAGAATATTTACAACTTTTTTCCACCCAAAAGTATTCAATATATTAGAAGTCACAGTAAAGAATGGCAAAACCAGAAAGCATGTTATTCGGTATGGTTATAGCTAGCGCATGTTTAGATCCATATTCGGAGTATATCCACAATTTTTTCTACCCAAAAATATTCAATATTTTCAAAGTGACAATAAAAAATGGAAAAAGCAAAACGGTCGTTATTAGTTATAATTGTAGCCAAATATGATCGTAGCCAGCATATATTTATATCTATATTCGAAGAATTTCCACAATTTTTTCC